CTCAATTTACTAGGACCTAACTGAACCGATCTCTAATCCTTATTTAACTGGTCTGGAATCACCCTAAACTAGTATAATTTGGATTAGATTAGGTTCAGTTTCGGTTAAACTAACTTGAATAAGTCAATCAATTTGGAATCACCCTGAATTGATCTAGACTAATCAAGCCTAGTTTAGTTCAATCAATACTTGGGCTCAAATCCAATAATAATATTGAGCTAGATTAAGCCAGCTCATCTACTAGTCATGTGCATTATACATGACTGGGCATGCATCACACAAAGCTGGCTCAGCCTTGGCCCATGGACTGGTCATGTGCATCGCATGTGACCGCCCATGATGGTTAGGCTGGGTTAGCCTACGGGCCAAGGCCTGATCCGTGGGTTGGGCTTGGCCTACGGGCTGGGCCTGGTCTATTGATTAGGCCTAGCCAATAGGCTATGGCCTGACCTATGGGTTGGGCCTGGCCTGTGAGTAATTTCATTCCAAATAATATATAATTTCATACCGCAACATATATTAATTAGCAATATAAACAAAAAACATAATAACGCATTGAATGATAGACAAGGAGATAAGCTTTAAAACAAGAAAATAACATTCTAATTTAAATGGAAATCATAATACATTAAAAGACATAAACTTTAATATAATGAAATAACCTTCTCAATTCACATAAAAATCATGCTTTCAATACATATAAAATTTCAACATATTCTAGTCAAATTCTAAATCATTCAGAATAGCATATTTTAAATTTTAAATTAATGAATATCATAAAAGATTTTAGATAACATATTTTAATCTAATAATATTTTAATCCAGATAAGATTAAAGATAAACAGTAATATCAGGAAATATCAGATAAAACATATAAATTTTTAACATCTTTAAATCTACAATAAAAACTTAATCATCGGTCAACATTATACAAGTGATTACTTTAATGTGATAATAAAAAAATTAACATTTAAAGAATTGATAAACATTTTTCAAGCTTTCAACATTCAAAGAATCAAAATAAAAACTAAAACTTTTAAATTTAAGAAAGGCAGGGAAACCTACCTCTTGTCAACTGCCAGGCTCGATTAGGTGAGGAACGAAGGAGAGAAATCCCTCCCTTTAAATAGGAGGAGGTGAGCCTCTATTAAAAGAAATTTATTTTAATTTTCATATTTATTTAATATAAATTATTTTTATTTAATATACTAACAAATATGATATCATCATATTTGGAATACTTAATAGTTATTTCCTTAATTCATATCAACAAACAAGGAAGTAGATTAAGATTTCCTAAATTATGATGGCAAGTAAGGAAAACAAAATTTAAATCTCAATCTCAAATATTTGATTTGATTACACTATCACATCAGATCAAGTAAGACAACTCGGATTTCCTATCAGGAGTACAAACGAAGACCGGTCCGAACAGACGAAGACAACTAAATCCTCTGCCTTGCGCTGCCATCATCTCTTCCACCGGGAGTATTCATCATCCCGCTTGTCATCTTGTTAGTGTAAACAACTTTAAGCCGTGGCCTCGGAGTCGACGTGATTTGATTCGGGTCCGAATGATGAGGGATTTTCTTGGGACGATCCTTGAGACTGCAGAAGACCGATTGCGGTAGTCCGATTGCGAAGGGGTCATCGTTTCCTCCGGGAGGGGGCTCCTCGCCTGGGAGTTTAGTAGGAGGCCTCCGTCTTCGCACCTGCACACAGGTCGAGTCGGGAGAGCTCAGCCCGACCCCTCCGACGATCAAGTTAGTGAATAGTCGCTGGGTTTTTTTGGGTGTCTCTTCTTCCCCCCATCACTTCCTCGGAGCGCGAGGATTTTTATAGTGAAGGTTACCGTTGCCTGATGTGCCCGCTCGTAGGGAGCAAAATCGTACTCCTAGTAACGTCTAACATCGACGTTGGTGTGATGTAAAGGATCGAGCCTGAGTAGGATATTAATGTGCCTCGATCGACATTCCGGTCCGTGTTGACCAGGTACTGTCAGGTTAACAGAGGCGTGAAGCATCATCCGAGCCAACTGACGTCAACCCGAGTCTTATCGTCATTATTACCCTCATCAATCTTAATGGCGACTTAGGAAAGAAGAACTGCCAGGAGACTCTTCTCTCCACGTCATTCATAATCGCTTACGTTGAATCAACAAGAAAGCCTGACATTAAATCAACAAGATGTTTGCAAGTACATATCACCATGTGCTTGTTCTTTCTCTTCGAAACACTCACATTACGCATGCTGAACAGGAACCATGCATCATAAAGAAGTAGTGTTGGTGGAATGTGCTTCCAATGAATGCAGTCGATTAGTCAACCCACCTATGGTTTCTAAACGTTCGACCTCTGCAGTCATAGTTCGGGTGAATCTGTCGATTATAAGTAATCGAACCCGGGGCGGTTCAGGTGCTGTTTGGACCGTGTCGAACCGGGACCGTCGGGGGCCGGTGGGAGCGCATGAGGGCGAAGTTTAGGCCCCTGAAGAAGGCGTGCTCTTTGACGTCGGCCGCGCCCCGTCGCGAACCGAGCCGCGCCTCCGGGTCCTTGTCGAGCAGGTGAGCGATCAGGTCCCTCGCGGCCGAATCCGACGACCTGGACGAGGGGCTCGAGGGCGGAGGGAAGACCAGGGGCTCCGTCACGATGTTGCGGAGCGTGGCCTTGAGGGTCTCCCCCGCGAAGGGGGTGCGGCCGTAGAGCAGCTCGTAGAGGAGGACGCCGTAGGCCCACCAGTCGACGGCGCTGCCGTGGGGACCGCCGCCCGCGACCTCCGGCGCGACGTACTCGTGGGTGCCGACGAAGGAGCTCGACCGGGCGACCACCGGCTCCGCCACAAACCTCCGGTCCGGCTTCAAGATACGGCGGAACAACCGCCGTGCCCGGAAGGGGAGGCAGGAGGGCCCGACGCGGTGATGGTGGCGAAGTTCGGCGGCCTGTTCGCTGGCGGTGAGGGGCTCGAGGGTCGGGGAGGTGGTGGACACGAGGGAGAGGTCGAAGTCGGTGAGCATGATGTGGCCGTCGGCTCGGATGAGGATGTTCTCAGGCTTGAGGTCGCGGTAGACGATGCCGAGCATGTGGAGGTACTCCAGCGCGAGCAGCACCTCCGCCGCGTAGAACCTGCGGGTGAATTGAATGCAGACGCCATCAGCGACAAAAACAGAGCACAGAGATGGCATCTTTCTGTGAGCAATTGCTGACACGAGTTCTCACCGCGAAGACAACTAGAAGACTTCAACGGAAAACGCCACCAATTCCGTAACAGATGGAAAAGTTGTGACTTGTGATCGTGAAAGCTCGATAAAACTCGATTTTGTTTCGTAGAAACTTCGGAAAATTGCATGAATTTCCCAAAAATTAATCTTTGGGAAAAGTTGCGATTTTTAATCGAAGGAAAAGAGGTTGTGGGAGGACCTGGTGGCGGAAACCGAGAAGCGGAGGTGGGGCTGGCGGAGGCGGAGGGTGTGGAGGTCGCCGCCGCTGCAGTACTCCATCACCAGACAGGAGTAACGTGGGGGCATGTCGAAGGCGGCGTAGAGGGTGGGGAGGAAAGGGTGGTCGAGGACACGCAGGATCCTCCTCTCTGTCACTGCACTCTCCAGCTTCTTCTTCTTCTTAGCCAGCGCCAGCTTGTCCATCACCTTCATAGCGTACATGCACTGCGAGGCTTCCCCGCGGAGGCGGCACAGGTAGACGGTGCCCATGTTGCCCCTTCCGATACGGCGAACGAGCTCGAAGTCCCGGTGGCCGAGGTTCGAGGGGCGGGCTCCACCGGCGGAGGTACGCGATCGAATGGCCGCCCAGGCGGGGTCCAACGACCGATGGGGCTTGGAGGCGAAGGTGCCGCAGTTGAGGTCCCCGAAGGAGAGTTCGAGTGCCGCCATGGACGCGGCGTCGTAGGAGACGCGGGAGAAGCTACTGCGGCGTTCGTCACAGCTGACGCCGCCGCTGCTCATAGAGTTCAACGCTTCCTGGACGATCTCGCCATCGGAATCCAGCGGCGAGCCCAACATCTTCGCTCCGAAATCACGCAAACCCAACCTCTTCGGATCGAGCAACAGCAAATAAAAGGAGGAACAAGAAAAATCCAAACTTTTCTCAACAGTGGAACAGGGGAGCTCCAAAAAAGCAAAAACAGGAAGGATTTTTAAGGATCTTTCTCCGGAATCAGACAGAACGGAGCACAGTTGGCGTCACCCGAAACGATTCTCGTCAACAGAGGAGGCAGAATCGAAATCCAAAGAGCAAGAAATAGAAGAAGCGATTCTGTTCTCCCTCTCTCTCAATCTCTCTCTAGTGGCACACGAGAATCCAAACGGGAAGCAAACGATGGAATCAAAGGAGCTCGGAATCGTTCGGTCTCACTCGTTCCTGTGATTGCTCGCTCGCATTCTCCGAAGCTGACACTGAGGACAGCAGCACGATCTATATATATACACATGGAGAAGAAGTACGAGATAATGTCTCGATAACTATGTTTACGTTCCATAAACGTCAAAAAGGCAAACATCTCCCCTGATGATTTCTTGTTCGGTGCTTGAACCCATAGTGTAATCACCCATGATTTTTTTTTTGTCTCCCTAACTTAAATCAAACTATCATAAATAATACTTTTTATTTAAATTATTGCCTTTATTATTCATATAATATAGTTTAAAAAATAATTAAAATTAATTTTCTTAATTATGTGGATAAATTAGAATTTTATCAATTAATTAATTTTTTTAATTAATTGATTTCTTAATGAGTAAAAAAATAGAAAAAAACTAAATTATTTTTGTGTTTGGCGATGAGAGGATTAAGAAAAGGATTTACATATTCTTTATTCTATGTTCTTATCAATTTTTTATTTATATTTTAAAATCTTTAATGATGGAATTATTATAATTTATATGATGCATGAATATATTTTAATTTTAAAATTTTATAATTAATTAATAATGATTTTGAATTATGATGTTAGCATGATTAGTTAATTTAATAATATTTTTATTTATTTAATTAGTTATAATTATATTTGAAGGGATTATGTATGAATTTTTATGATTTAATTAGTTTTAAATTTGGAATCATTAGCCAAGGCTCAACCCATATAACATGTGAAGTTCTGCCTATCTAGCTATGCGACTAATGCTAGATATATCATCGCCCCTTTATCTAACTCGTTGTATCTTAATCCAACCTATTACTTAAGATAGACATGTGCAACACATATAACTCATCTAAGACTTATGTGAGTCGATTCAATCTTGGCTAGCACTATACGATATAGTCCAATTTCCTCTTTCTTTTTAAGTTTGATCTTGTTAGTTGACTAAATCAAATAAGTTTGATCGATTTGATCTCGTTAAAATCAATCAAATCTAAATTAGACCTGTATATAATGATTTTAAACCGATCCTATAATGATTTGATGTTAGTTTTGTCGTATCCTATATTTATAAAAAAATAAACCATCATTTTATTAACTTTTTTTCCAATGAATTCAAATATTTATATTTGCAATACTAATTTTTTTAATTAAAAAATCATTATGACTATAAGTGATAAAAAAACTTTCCTCTACCCAAGTTAAAAATAAATATATGATAAAAATATATCAACAACCACATATATTAATGATAAAAATATTATTTAATATTTATGATACATATAAATATCAATAATTTAATATAAAATGATAACATATCAATTCATTATTAAACTTATGTATCATAAAAACAATAATAATTTTTATATAGTAAATAAAATCATGCATAAATTATATATAAGATATCTCGATATCGCACATAATATTCATATAATAATGACATACATTATACTCCTTCAACAATAATTAAAGAGGCATACTCTATAGGATAAATTATTCTAACAATGGATGGAGTGGTATCCCTCTCTCGGTCAAATAAGATACATTTCTTCTAACAATTAATGGAGGAACTATTTAACCATCATGTCGAACGGTCTATTAATTCCAGAAAGAAATCACCTACCTGTCCTCAAAATTGATACACAATCAATCATAATAATTCATTTTACATTCATCTATTTACTTATACATGTATCCAAGAAATAGTATGATAGTATATTATGAGTGATCATGCTTTGATATATAATCTACTAAACTATATCCATTGGTGACGAACTTCTAAAGTTAACCACTCAAAATAATTACATATACTACATAATAATAATCACATCAATATCATTAATTTAATCTAAAAATTTGTTAGTTATTTTAAAATGATATATTCAGATAAAACATTGAAGTTTATCAAATCATAAAGATACGAGACATTAATCTCTCAAAAGGCAAAGTTGTCTGTGGAAATGGTAGCCAAAAGCACACCAGGTGGATCTATGCCTCACAAGAAGCTGTATCAATCAATGAGAAGGATGCAGATGCAACTCATCACAAAGATGCTCGTTGGTTTGCCCCAAAGACACAGCGTAGAGCTTTCCCAATACTTACTACCAGCTAAGAAGCTGTTTGAATGTGTTGTTTA